AGTCTAAGCAATAACTACTGTCATTGAAAGAACTCCAACTAGCACTTGACTTTCCATAGAACTTGCTTAACCAGTCATAACTTGAACTGGTTGGTCACTTATTTTTTGCAAGCTGGTCTTGGCAATCTGCTCAGCTGTCCTCCAAACGACCTCAACAGATCTACTGACCACTATTCACATCTGCATCAACCACTGAGGGAAAGAAAATTCCAATCTGGAGGAGACAGAGCCTTCTGGCCTGGATTTTACTTCTGAAGGGGTTACATTTGTGCGGCAGAACTTCAGATCTGCAACTTTTCAAGCTTCAACATTTTAAAGTAAAAGAAAACCTATAGGTAAATGTCACTGATAAAGTTCCTCCTCTCTGAAATCTAGAGGAGTCAAAATTCCCACTTGCCACTTAATCCTCAATGGCAGAACATTCTCCAGGAATTCTGTTGCATGCCATTTGGAGTGACCAGCTTCCTAAATAACCAAAACATCACCGAGGACACCAAACTGCTTAGTACAAATGGAAATTACCGTTTGTAAAAACACATTGCTTATCAACGCTCCCCAGCATGTCTTAGAAGCTACGAAATTAAATTAGCACCTTTAGAAAAAGGATCAAATGTGTGTGTGTACACACCGTGAGGCACATACTTCAGAGCCGTCCCCAAATATGTCACACTTCACAGACTTCATCAACTCTTCAACAGCACACGGTAATAACATTTACAAAACATTTTTAAACATTTAGCTTTTAAAAAGTGAATGAGATCACTTTATTCATTGAAAAATAGAGGGGCGATTTAGAAAACAGGATGCAATTGTCCAAGGTAGAATATACTCCAGTTATGGAGTTCTAATCGCTACCCTCAATAGGTGTACTAGGTACTAGCCACTCTCCAAATATGGCCCCCACACTCAAGAGATGGAGTGCCTTTGTGCTCTGCTTGAATCTGGGCTGGTCTTATGTCTTGGTGTGATCAACAGAATGAGGCAAAAGTGGCATACTTGGGCTTCCCAGCCCAGGGCTTAACAGGCCTGGCAGCTTCCACCTCCTTTTTTGGAATCTAGTCACTATGTGAAAAGTCTCACTACCCAAATGAAAACAGAGGTCTCATGAAGAGGGCCTGAAGCCATCTTGAACTGCTGAGGCAGCCACCTGACCGAGCCCAGGAAAGACTAGCAGATGAACTCCAGCCAACCCAGGGAATCATGAGAAATAATAAATCATTGTATATTCAAGCCCCTAAGTTTTGGGGGTGTTTTGTAGTAATAGATAACTGAAGCGATAGGTGACAAAAGATATCAAATGGTTAAAAGTGAGCCAGATCTACCATTCATCTATCTGTGATCATCCTGGGATTCTGAATACTACTTTCCTTGCAAAGTAGTAACACAGACAAAGGATAAACACAGAGAGAACCTTCTCCTGTCATAGTCAGACTCTAGCAGTCAGTAACATCTAGGATACTAGCAATGATGCTCACACTAGACTCTCACAATTCTATCCCCAGAGTACAGAAGAACTAGAAAAAGTATCCCTCTTGATTGGCGAAGCTCTCTCCCTCCTTGTATTCCTGCTTTATCTAACACTATGCCACAAACCTGCAAATGTTTATGTGAGGTAAATAAAACTTCCACGTGAGTATTGGGAAGATGAAAAAAAGTTAAAAAAAAAAAAAGTTGCTGTCGAGTAGATTCCAACTCACGGCGACCCCATGTGTGTCAGAGTAGTACTATCCTACACAGGCTTCTCAATGGTTGATTTTTCGTTAAGTAGATCACCAGGCCTCTCTTCTGAGGCACCTCTGGATGGACTTGAACCTCCAACCTTTCAGTTAGCAGTCAAGTGTATTAACCATTTCCAGGGACTCAAAAAAAAAGCTAGCAGAGGCTAACCGCACTTTAAAGGCTTGGATGGACTATGTAGAGCCACACAGACAGCAATGGTTGGACAGGCTTGTGGTAGACTCAGTTACTGGCCCCAGTTCTTGACCCTTCCCTGCATCCACACTCTTCTCATGGATGTACTGTGGTCAGAGTGCATTTCTCTGTCTCTTGACATTGGGTTTGTTCACATGACTTGCTTCGGCCAATGACATGTGGGTGCAAGTGACAGTGGGCCAGCTCCACGCCCAAGCTTTAAGAAGTACTGCATGTATCCGCTTGTACTCTTGCCCTTGTGAGAAAGAAGAACATGCCTCCCACTAGGTCACTGGCCCCAGGAGGAAGAGGAGAGAGACCTGGAGCAAAGCTACCCAACTGACCTACCAACTCAGGATCAAAAAAGAAATGCTTATTGTTGAATGCCACTGAGATTTTGAGGTTGTCCGCTACGCAGTAGTAGTTGACTAATTCAAGGCTCCTTTATCACCTGCTAAAATTTACACAATACACATGGAACATTAGCATAATAGAAAATCTTCTTGGCTATCTAAATTGTAACTAAATTTGGAAACAGATGCTTAGGTAGTCTCACTGTCAAGCCGAAGTACAATATACTGAATATCACCAAAATTTCTTCTTATAGTCTAAGATTATCTTTCAAAAAATTGTAATTTGCTATTCAGAGTTCTACATAATTTGACCCTAACTTAGTTTTCTAGCCATTCCGTTCCACTTGTATTTCATATTCAAGTTAGATTAGTTATAATTTGTTGAATAGGCCTCACATTGTTTTACCTCCAGCCTGTCCTCATCCAGTCCCTACACACTTCATCCAACAGGTTTAGATCCTTCCAGTCTTTAAGGCGATGGTCAGATGTCACCTCCTTATGAAATCTGCTCTGATCCTGCCTTTTAAGTCCGTCTCTCCATCCCCTGACTCTTATTACAGTGTTTGGCCTTCCCTCTTAGGAAATTTGATTTATTCTGCCTCATCACACTTTCTTCTCCTCTTACAAGGTCCTAGAAGGCAAGGTTTATGTATTATTTACCTCTGCACCCTCCACAGCACTTAGCAGAAGGACTTGCACACCTTAAAAACCTTATAAGAACGAGTGGCCAATGGGAGGCAGCAGGGCATCAGGAAACAACATCCAGAAACGAATGTGTACTTCAGAGGCTGGAGATCTGGATTCCGTTGCTTGTAGCTGAGCAACATTGGACCAGTCAGTCTCTCTGTGCTTCAGCTTCCTCATATGTAACCTGGGATAAGGGCGCTTACTTCACAGGACTGTTTTGAGAATTCAACATGAAAAGGAACGTAAATGCCTCGTGATATTTGACAGAGAATGGAGACTCCATAAATGGCAGCTCTTATTACAAAAATGACAAAGACACAGACTATCACCTAGAAGTTAAACAAATCCCTGATGCTAGATTATTTTCTCTTAAAAGTTCAGTGTTTGAGAGTGACAGTAATGACTCTGGTTAATACAAATTCTAATTATTTCTTTTCCCAGTAGTTTCAATGATCTGGATTCCAGTTTTATTAAGACGTCCATATGATACTTTCACCGTAGTTCTAAATTCCATAGGTAGTCACCACTAGAAGTAAATTTGTTCCAGGCAACAAATGCATCTCCTTAAAATAAACAAAGCAAAAACAAACCTCCTCCCCATGTGTACTAGTCCACTTTTAAAGCAACATTAGCACTGCCACAGCATCCTCCATTCTTTACCAGTGAACTGAAACAACCATCACACTGGATCAAATGGCAGGGAGTCTAAATGCAGTAGGATTGTTTTAACATGATCGAATGGTGTAACTTCAGCCTTTAACATGTAAACATTATCTTAACGACTTTCCTTATCAAATAAGAGATGAAAAGGTGCTTTTATGAATAAAAGCACCATGCAAAGGTCAAGTAGTATTACTGCTAAAGTAATACAGCAAAAACAGCTTTATTTGCCTGGTACTAACTGGAATTTTGTACCGAACCCATGCCCATGCTTCGTCGGAGCAATAATTGGTCTTCCAAAGAACAAACTCAATATTATGCAAACTCTAAAATGGGCAGGCAGGGAATGTAAATGAGTGAACCACCGGGCTTGGTGTGCATTCACGGGGAAGTTCACTAGAAGTTCACAGCCTGACTGAAGGGGCAACTGCTACCTCACTCCATTGATTGAAGCCTCAATAATGAAGACCCAGCGTTGCCAGATCTATTGACTTTTCAAGAGAAGCAAGAAAGTTAGAGTTTTATTAAAACATTGAGGAGCCCTGGTGGAGCAGTGATTAAGCACTTGGCTGCTAACTGTTTAAGGTCGGTGGTTCGAACCCACCAGCCACTCCACGGGATAAAGACATGGCATTATGCTTCGGTAAAGATATACAGCCTTGGAAATCCTATGGGGCAGTTCTGCTCTGTGCTTTAGGGTCGCTGTGAGTCAGAATTCAACTTAACAGCAATGGGTTGTTTTTTGGGTTTTATTAAAACATTCTGATTTTTGAAGGCAGCCTTGCTTTTTTAGTTTTAAATTCTTTGGGGGCCAAAGAAAATATATTTATAGGCCGCATGTGGCCATGGGTTGGCCCTTTGTGACCTTGGCACTAAATAACCTACAGTCACTTTGAATCATCATAGAAAGGTTAAACATGATTATTACGTTCATTGTATTTGTATTTTTTTAAATGGAAATTTATAACCCCAATAAAGAATAACAACCCTCCATTAACTCTAAAAAATACCTCACTTCCTCATTTATGAATCCTCAGTCACTACACTTTTGGGCCTCCATGTTTTCAGTTCTACAGCTCTACCCTAGTAGGATTCCCTCCTGGCTGCTGCTCCATGTACCTATTTAAACTTTACCAGTTCTTTAAAGCTTGATTTAAAGGCTAACTCCTTCATAAAAACCTCCCCAAGTCCTCCCCAAAGCCTCTTATGTATAAATTATGATGCTAATCGCCCAGTGTCAAAGATCTGCATTGATTTCTATCATATCTCATCTCCCCTTTATGAATAGCCCCCAAACAGCATAGCACAAGTATCACTACACTTCTTTACTCCCGTGGGCATGAAAGGCCTAGAAGCAACAGGTCAAGAGTGAAGTTCCATAGCACTCACCGCCAAACACATCTCCGTTCTGGTAGTTTTTCCCTTTCTGGGCTTCCTCTTCATTTTGAACAGTGGCAACATGCTTGGCGGAGGCACAGCCCATAGTCTCATTCGGTCAGCTTCAGCCGGGCTGAACTGCAAATCATCTCTACAGACACAGGGACATTTTTTTGTTTTTCTTTAAACACAAAGAAAAATCCACTTTCCTGTTGAGTCGGTCAAGATGTGTGCACCTGCAAGAACAGAAAGCTAGATCAGAAGGCATGACCCCAGGAAAACCCATGCCTCAGTCTCTCACCCTGCTGGGTAGCCAGCAACAGGCTAGAATCCCTGGGTGACTTCACTGCATGGGAGTTGTGACAGGGCGCTGAAGAATGAAATCCAACATGGCCCATGCTCACTTGATTCCCATTCAGAAAGCAAAATCAGAATGCCTTGCCTCCTGCCACACACATGCCCAAAGGGTGAACTTTTTTTAAAAAATTGGTAAAATGCATATAAAATAAAATTTGCCATTTTCAAGTGTACAATTCAGTGGCATTAATTATATCCACATTGTACAACCATCACCACTATTTGTTCGCAAAATTTTTCATCATCCCTTTTTCCTAAGAGAAGTCCCTGGGTGGTACAAACAGTGAATGTTTCAGCTGCCAACTGAAAGATTGGAGGTTCTAGTCCACCTAGAGGCCGTCGGAAGAAAGGCTTGGCGATCTACTTCTCAAAAATCAACCACTGAAAATCCTATGGAGCATAGTTCTACTCCGATACACACGGGGTCTCCATGAGTTGGAACTGACTTGAGAGCAACTGATTTTTCTTCCTAAGAGCACTAACAGTATCTACGGTGTAGAAATCTAATAACTCAAACAGAAACTCAGTGCCCATAAAGCAGTAACTCCCCATTCTCCTCACCCCTCTGTCCATGCTAATAACTATCTACTTTCTGTCTTTATATGCATTTTCCTAGTTTAGATATTTCATGTAAGTGGGATCAGACAATATTTGTCCTTTTGTGTCTGACTTATTTCACTTGGCATAATGTTTGCAAGGTTTATCCACAGTGTTGCATGTATCAAAACTGATGTCTCTTTATGGCTGAATAATATTCCATTATATTAATATACCACATTCATCTACTGATAGAAGAGGTGAACTTTTCAAAAACAATACAAAAAATATATATATACTTGTTCAAATAAATATTTGAGTTCCACTACTTGCCAACCAAAACCAAAACCAAAGCCGCTGCCATCGAGTCGATTCCAACTCACAGCGACCCTATAGGAGAGCACAGAACTGCCCCATAGGGTTGCCAAGGAGTGGCTCGTGGATTCAAACCACCGACCTTTTGGTCAGCAGTCATGCTCTTAACCACTGCAACCCCAGGGCGCCCTACTTGCCACACGTACACTTAAAGCGCCTATGTCTATCAATGTTCTGGAATCTCAAAAAACTTCCAAGTAAGGAAAACGCACTCTTGAGATTCACCCAATTCAGGAGACCAGCAAAAGCTCTCCATCTTCCCCACTCTGTCTTGCAGGCAAGCTCTTCCCAGTCCAGCACCTCACACCACGCCTGGGGGAAGGGGGTCTTCCCCTTCAGACTGAAGCATGGGTTAGTTTATACATTTCTGGTGAGTTCTGTAAATAGTCCAATATTTATGTTACCTGAGGTGACATTGTTTGGGGAGCAAAACGAAGGAGACAGGTGCAAATTTTTTTTCTTCTGCTTAGCTAGCTGAATGTTTTAAAGACTGAGTAGAAAATGTAGGAATATGAAGAAATGAAAATAAAGCAGTTGTCTACCCGTTGTCAGAGCCTGTGTGCCTCTGTTGTTGTTGTTAGCTGCTACTGAGTTGGCCCTGACTCATGATGATCCCATACACAATGAAATGGACCACTGTGATCCATAGGGTTTTCACTGGCTGATTTCCAGAAGCAGATTACCAGACCTTTCTTCCTAGTCCATCTTAGTCTGGAAGCTGTGCTGAAAACTGTTCAGCACCACAGAACACACAAGCCTCCAATGACAGACAGGTGGTGGCTGCACATGAGATGCACTGGCCAGAAATCGAACCTCTACTGACCTCTAATCAACATGTAAAGAGTATTTGTAGATCAACCACAAGGACATAATCCTCAAGTTAACTGAAGTGAACTAACCTTACCTGCCCTACACCCAAGGTCCCTGCCCAAATTTTCAGGGTTCACTAGGCTCATACCGTTCTTTTTTATTTATTTTTTCATCATCCTTATCCAAGTACTCATCCAGGCTTGAAGATGTTTCCTTTGAAATGTCTCTCTATCCATTCTTTCTGTCCATCCATTGCACTGTGATACAGGCCCTACCTGCTCACGCTCAAGCAGAGCAAAGGAAGTTCAGACCTTTTAATCTTAATCAGCACTTGTGTCTCACCGCCCCTTCCATCTTTTATAAGCAATTGATGCTTTCTCCAACTCATGGGCAAAGTTACCAAAATGCACCTGGAAGCTTTCTCTTCCTTTGAGATTGCTGCCCCTAAGCCCTTCTTCCTAAGAGCACGAACGACATCTACGCATGTAAAAATCTAATAATTCAAACCATAAAATTTCAGCACAGAGAAGTTTTCAAATTAGCCTAACAAATAAAAGGTAATTCTAAGTCAATCTAATAAGCAAACTTTGATATAAAGATAAAGATCTTAAATTAAGCCAAGCAAAGAAAAATTTCAATAAGCTCTGTGATTATAACACTAGTTATTTCTTTGTATAGTTCTTCAGACTGTTCTCTATCACTGGTTACATCAAATCATTAATAGGTTATACAGGGTAGATTGGTGAAGTTTTATAAACAGGAAGGATTTTCTTCCCTTCAGTTAATATCTACCTTCTCTACATTATGGAGTCCCTGGGTGATGCAAATGGCTAAGTGCTCGACTAGTCACCGAAAGGTTGGTAGTTCCAACCCACCCAGAGGCACCTTGTAAGACAGGCCTAAGGATCTGCTTGACATTTCTGAAGCAGATCCCCAGGTCTGTCTTCTGAAGTGTCACAGCCTCGGAAACTCTACAGGGCAGTGCTACTCTGCACACACTGAGTTGCCACGAGTCAGAATCAACCTGATGGCAATTAACAACAACAACTTACAATATTAGGTAGCTTCACCTTAACAGATTTTCATCTTTTTAAAGCTATATGGAACCCAGGCATGTGAACATGGACACACACACACACACACACACACGCACACGCACACACACAACTACTCTGATGATATTTTAGCAATGATGTTTTCAAAGCTACAGTAGTATTTCTGTTTGGTGGTCTATTCTATCCTACAAGCTTTAATTCAGAAAGTTATATAATTTAATGTAACTTAATGGGTTAAGTCTTTTAATCAGAATCCTAGACGATTTGCATAATTTGTCTCCATCACATTTACTCTTCTTACACAGCAGCAGTTTGTGCCTGAGGCAGAAAAAAGGAAGGTGGGAAAGTTCCAGTTGCTTAGTAAAATTCTATAGCCACACAGGACAGGAGACGGGGAGGGAGATGTTTTTAGAGAGGAGAGGTCAGTCATTGTAAATGCAAGCAGAAGTCGACTGTCATACCAGTGAAGTGGCCTGGGCATAGACAGTCTTAGATTATCAACATTTTCAAGCAACTGCCGATGATAAGTAAAATAAAAGATTCATTCAAATATTTCAATGGTCAGTCTATATGTAAAGTACATAGGGAAACGTCAGAAGTTAGAAAAACCTGACACCAAAGACAACGAAAATGCCACTGCAGTGCAACAAGCTATTCAGTAGTTCCCAGCTGGCATAACACAGCCTCTCACCAAACCAGGCTACACTTTCAGGTTATCATCAACCTGATGCAGGCCATGCAAGAAATGTAAGAGAAATGGCTGCCCAAACCACACCTTTGTGTAAATCAGTACAGTAAGAAAGCTATGGAATAGTGAACTGTTACTATATTTATATGCATGTTCTCAGCACAAAATGTATATGTGCTTGCATACACACACACGTACGTGATTCCAGAAACAGTCATTTATTGATTGATTTATTATACACCTGTGATGGTTAAGATTGTGTGTCAACTTGGCTGGGCCATAATTCTTGGTGTTTATATGTGAACACTCTCATGATGGAATCTGGTGTAAGCAGCCAATCAGTTGTAATGGAGTGCCTTGCGGGTGTGGGCTGCATCTGTGTATAAGCAGACGTTCTGGCTTTTTTGCTTGCTCTGGATCCTGCGGCTGCCTCTTGTTCATCTGACCTCTAGTTCTTGGGACCTGAGCTATCAGCTTATTTGCTGATCTTGGGATTCACTGATCTTCACAGCCTGTGAGCAGGAGCCTTGCTCTCCAACCTGCTGATCTTGTGTTCCCCAGCCCCTGTGGCTACGTGAATCGAGAGAAGCCTCTATCTTAATCCACAGACTTGGGACGTTCCAGCCTCTACAATTGCGTGAGCTGTTTCCTTGCTATAAATCTTTCTCTATATGTATATATTTATGTTTTACTGGTTTTGCTTCTCTAGAGAACCCAGCCTAAGACAACACCCAACACTTCTGGAGTGCCTGAGCGTACCAGGTACTGTGTTAAGTGCTAGTAACTGAAAAATTAGATTAAATCTCAGAACCTGCCCTCCGAGTGCTCAAGGCCTGGTGAGGGAGAGAGGCAGTCATTAAAGACAAGTGCCAGAATAGAGGTTTCACAGAGATCTATGACCATGCAGAATTAAAAAAGGCATATTAAATTATGACTGGCTGGAGGCAGGAAATAAAAGAGGAAGTGGTATTTTTTTCTAGGGTTGTAAAGGTTTGGTAGAAATTTGCCAAGCTAAAGGGATAGTAGCATCATCCAGATGAAATGAACAGCATGCATTAAGACCCTAGAACATGGGAAAGGATGGCATATTTGTGGTATGCTTGTTTTGGGGAGGGGCAGGGAAGAGAACTGGATTGTTGATGCTTTATGAGGGGCCTGGAGGAGGTTTTGCTCACTTTATCCAATTTTACAGATAAACCATAAAACATCAGATCGAAAGTCAAGTTTGAGCCCACTTTCAGAGATATTAAATTCACATAGAAGTCCATTCTGTCAAATTATCATGCTTTTTGAAGAAACATCACTACTGAAGCATGTGGCAAGGACAGAAGATGTGATTCAGCTCTAAAGGCAGGAGAAAGAGATAAAACCTTCCTAGCAAGGAGGCTGCTGAGAATTGTTGCTATTGTTGCTG